CCTAAGAGTTTAGAATCTAACTTACAAATAACGAAAACTTCAGGTGAATTAAGTACAAATAGTTATTTAGTAGAAAATATCACCATAATTTAACCCCAAAAATAAAAATCCCTAGCAGAGTAGTCCAAACCTTGAACACCATCGTTCTCCGTAAGTGACAAATCAGCGGTTTTGCTAGCAAATAGGAAACAAGAACCATTTCCAACATCCACATTCCAAGCGATGATCGATTCACTCACCCAATACGCCCTCGAATACAACAAACTACAATCCTGTAAATCGCAATCGATCACCATGAATCACAAACAAAGTTGGTCAATTCTCACATATCGATCAAAAGATATCCCAAAAAAAAAGTGAATCAATTTCTACAAATCTCGAAGCTGAGAACCGACATTGGAACAATTTTGAGCACAGATAATGAAGAGAGAGAGAAACCTGAGAGGTCGAAGGAGACGCCGTTGAAGCGGACATGGAAGAGGCGGAGAAGCAGCGAAGAAGAGGCTTGGCGTGGAATGGGAGAGAGAGGAAGGGATTTTGGGCTGTGGAGGTGAATAAACGACGTCGTTGCGGGGATGGAAGAGAAAGGCGGTTGGTCGTTGGGCCCGGTGGCGGGAAATAGCGGTTGGTCGTTGGAGCCGTTGGGAAGTGTGAGTGAAGAAGGTGAGACGAGCGTAGAAGGGGCATTTTTTTTTTCCCTCTTTTGGACCTTTTGCGATTTGCCGGTTTCTCACTAACTACGATGCTTTTTGGACATCTTTTTCCCTGCTTTCGAGGACTGCGTTTAGTATTACTTTTTACTCTTAAAATTAACTTTAGCTTTTAATAAAAGTTAATTTTAATATTTAATAAATTCTTACAAAAGTATTTTTTTTTTTAAATTTTAAAAAATTTACAGTTAAAATTAGAATCAGTTTAAACATAATTTTAATTTAATTTTTAAATTATGTAAAAATTAATATAATATAATTAATAAAATTTTCATAATATTCATAATAAAATTTATAATTTATAATCTTCACAATTTAAAATTTAGACTCATAATATAATATAATAT